GCAGGAATGGGTATAGTTTAGGGTAGAAGGTCCCAGCTTGGCTCCTGTTTAGCTCTTGGACCAAAACAATAATTTCCTTACATAGTTTTTCCTATATATGTGTGCATTATACAGGCATTTATATTCTGTAAGTGCAAAAGGATTGTCAAAGCTCCACAGATTATAACCTTAAAATTCTCAGGTTTTGCGATAATTTTTCAAATAAAGTCTAAGTTTGACATTGTGAAAAATTTAATTTGTATTCACATTTCTAATGCCTTTCACTCAAGACAGCTCTAACGAGGGTATCTTTAATTAGCAGGGAAGGGTCTTTAGGACAGTTTTCACACACAAAGGCAGTTTAATTTTGTAGCATTGGGCAACAGTAAAGCCGTGACACACTGAGTTCTTGTAAGAGTCTGGTAGCTCCTCCTAAAATTTTCATACTGAGAGGAAAAGAAGGCTTAACTTGTTTTCTTGTAACTAGAAAATGAATTACCATTTCCATTGCACCCATTCTAGGTACTGCCAAAGGCACTGAGAGCTAGGAGAAGATTTTCCAGGCTCACTTAGGTTACAATGGTGTATTACAGCAGCTAACCTTGGTTTCTCAAGCAATGCTGGCAGGGGAGGGCCCAGGCTCAGAAGAACTTAAAAGTATGAACAAGACCAATTATTAAGAAAGATCCTTAACAGAAATTTAGAAACTGGGGATACAGGTGGAAACTAAGACTCATCTTAGTCGGCTTTTTGGCCTCTTTAGTCTGAATTACCATGGCAAGAAGTGATGCATTACAGGGTGCATCACAGGGCATAAATCAAGTCACGCATAAGCTATGTGCTTAGGGCTTATATGCCAAAACCACCATGAGCAGTAAATGGCAGGAGGGCAGGCTAACAGGATGAACCAAGATTTATAACATGAAATTAAGAAGATGGTGCTTCCAAGTGCCATCTGAACAGCCTTGTTCATCAGCTCGCCTGGCTGGAATGTGTCCAGCTGTGGGTTGCACAAAGCACAGTACAACAGATATCCACTTAGGGCACCACTGTCCCCTAAACTGAGATTCATCTCATTTCACTTCAGCTATCTAAACACAGACAATGATCATATGCCAGTCCCTTGGGCTTCCCCTGTTGACAGTGGAGCACATAGCAGTGCTTTGAGAGAAACCCAGCCTATCTAGAGAAAGGCAAGATGAATTATTCTCAGGAGATGACTACAAAAAAAGCCTAGAAGACTGCTTTAGAGTAGCCACCTAACCTGAGAAAAGTTATGTGACATGAATCCTACCCTTGGTAAAACAGGTATTATTCACATAATGCACTATTTTACAGAGATCTGAGAAAAGGAGTAATAGACTTTACACATTCTGCTGTGTGAGTATAACACCAGCAAAGTCAATGAAGCTACATCAAAGCTGACTTAAAAGCAGAGATTCTCAAGACCACTGACTAGCTGTGGTTTCAAGACAGTGTTTAAAGTCAGCTGATTTTGATTAAGACTTGCAACCAAGAGAAATAATCCATATAACCTTATTTGGAATAGCATATTGCTTACAAAGACAGCCTCAATATATTTAATAGCTAGAAAGTACTATTGTGAGGTTAAGTTCCCCCCTTCTTTCTACTCTCAACCCAGCAACGTTCCTTATACCGACATAAGTATTCTGCTTTTACATCTGTGCAACCAAGAGAAGAATTTGATCCCCAGAGCACAGAGGGAGAAGCCAATTTAAAAGCATACACAAAGAAAGGAAAGATACTGGGCCAAGAAAGTTAAGCTGAGATTGACTTGAACAAATTCTTTACGGTTGTGCATCAGCCAAGGATGAATCTAGCCTATTATATAGATACATGTGGCTGTATGTTAGAAATTACATCCTCTTAAAAAAACCCAAACAAACAAACAAACAAATAAAAACCCACCAAGCCAACAAAACAAACAAAAACCCAACACAAAAACAGACCAAACAAAACCCCAAAACCAATGCTGAACCCTTATGATGCAGTATTATAATGTCGTAGAAGAGCGGAACACCACGAACTGGCTCTGGAAAGGAGACCCTGCGCCAAGGAGGCGTTATTGCCACCCGGGCTGCACCTCAGCCCTCACCGGCATCACCCGGTTAATGGGGAAGAACGGGCGGGCCGGCCGGGAGGGGCGCTGACACAAATGGCCGGGGACCCCCGGCGACGCTGGGCGAGGAATCGGGGAAAGT